TAATGAATATCTTTTAGAATATTCTAGAATGTTCTAGGGATTTATAGGATTTTTATACTTTATTATAAATAGCCTTCTTAGGCCTCTTATTGTATTCAGTTATTGATGAATTATTAATCGAAAGATTTAAAGAGGTTTTGATAAACCACTGTGAAGAGTATTCACAATCCTAAGAGCTTTTGCGAAAGCCCTGAGAGGAGGACTCTCAAACCCTAGTTTCCGGGTATTCTCAGAATCAATGGATCTAGTTCTATCCCTAGAAGCTTCCGTTCCATCAACATTAGTGGAAAATACACCGGAGAAGAAGATCAGAGACGAGACAAAGAAGAGGTTGAAGGAGGCATATATGTCCTGTCCTGGAAAAGAAGAGGAACGGACAGTCAAAACATATTGAAATCAAACGAACATTATGGGTAAGTACTCAACTCACTAATCTAGTTATATTTAAAAGAATTTTGTCATTCGGAGTTATGAACTGAAAGTTATGGATGTTTTACTGAGACTGATCTGCGTAGATCGAGACTACGACCAACTGACTTCGCGAAAGATTTCTGGCCAAATCCAAGGGAACTACAGTACGATTTCAATGTTGATGGAAAGAGCTCCTCTAAAGCCTCAGGAACATCTCTCCGATCTTAAATCCGAGGTACGGTCAATCAGAAAATTGATCTCAAAGTTGAGCCATAATAATTGTTTGTGAGTGTGCCAAACATAGTAATCCGTTTCTAGTTTCAAGATGCAGTGTTTTTGGAGGACGATTTGATCATGGATAACCATACTGTTGGGTAATTTTGACAGAGGACATGTCGGAGATTCCAAAGAAGCTTCAATCATCTTAATCAAAGTTGTCTCTTGGTCGTAGTGAGCTTGTCTTGTTGCTCAGAATCGGCAGAATTGATTTGTCTTTCCAGCAACGGATAAGATGCATAAGATGCAGCTACTTTGAAGGTCCGTTTGGAGGTTAATATCAAGACTTTGGCGGTTCCTCTTCAATCAGAAGTTTGGTGCAACTTCTCGACTTTGGTAGTTCCCTTCAAAGCACTTTTATCTCGACAATGATGATTGAGTTGGGGATCGCAAATCTTAAGATTGGAGAGTTGGAGAAAGCACAAGTAAAACATGCAATAATCTCGAAGGTAAAGGAGCTCGAGTTTCTTTAAGAATTTGTAACGCAAAGTATCTTCAAACTTGGTTTTTTAACCCATTAGCATTGTAGGAGAAATTTGTATTGTATATTTATTTGTGTGTTATTCTATATTTTAATTGTTTTAAAATATTTAATTTTAATTATTATGAATCAAATATTTTAAATTTGAATTTTAATATTTTTGAATACAGATTTTTTTTAAATTAAATATCTAAGTTGGTAAAAAATTGGTTGGAATATATGGTCGAAAATGGGTCAAAACGTTTTGACCATTTTGATTGATCAAAAAATTTCGACAACTTTATTGGTCATAATTAATTTTTTGACCATTTTGATTGGATAAAAACTTTCGACCACTTTATTGGTCAGAATCAATTTTTTGACCATTTTGATTGGTCAAAAACTTTCGACCACTTTGTTGGTCAGAACTAAATGTTTGACCATTTTTATTGGTTAAAATGTTTTGACTATTTTCTGACCACAATTCATTTGCGACCATCGCTTTTTGACGAATCAATTTTGGTCAAGTACTAGTCAAAAATAGCTTTTTTGACCAATATTAGACCAAATTGATCGTCAAAATTGGACTGTTTTCTTGTAGTGAGACTTTTATATCCTTTAGAAGTGAAATTATTATTTTGTTTCTGGTTATGTCCACTATCGTCTCTGTTTATGCCGACCACCTTCTCCATCTCTGTCCACCACCGTCTCTATTTCTGCAACTACCGTCATTGTCTCCATTTT